ATCAGTTTTTAATAGAGCAGTGTGGAGAATACGATAACATTTGTTTAGTGTAAACATGCATCTTCTCCGAGGAAGATGGACTTTCGGCTTTGGCTGGTTCCTCTGCTTTCCTACGGCGAGGAAAGATAGCTATGGAGCAAGGTGTGTCCCTGCATGGCTGGGGAACGAGCATGCCAGGCCTCTCACAGTTGTTGCCCTGGCCTCATGCTGAGGTGGCTGGAGCTGCCTTAACAAGAGGAAGGTCAGCAGCAGTATGTCCACTATGTAGCTGGTAGATGAAAGCATCTGCAAAAGCAACTCCAGCCTCTTTGTCTGTGGGCTTACAGATCATCAGGCCACCGTGCTGAACTGGACCTGCATTAGACACTGCGAATCGTGTTCAGCCTCTGCAGGCAGAAGGAGAATTTAGCCTCTTGGCTTTCCTCCCCTCCTTTTTTTTCTGAAAGAGCATTGAAAGGACTAAGCCGCTGCCGGGTGGGCAGCGAGACGACAGTGGAGGATGGGCCAGCGAGTGGCTCAGCTGTTGCTATAACAACAGCACCTTGGTCTCATTTCTTTTGAAAAATGAATTGCTGCTGGTGGGATGAAGTGGAGCAGCTTCTCCCCGCAGATGAAAGTGCTGCCGACACCCTCAATGCTCTCTTGTTTATGTGTTGGGGCTGTTGTGGCATGTCCGGGCAGCTCTGCCGAAAATTTCAGGATGGGTTGGTTTAGACCATTTGGGTCTGCATGCACAGCCTCTGCGCTGCACCGCCCCACCCCCCACACCTCTTCGCCAATCAAGAGTCATTTAAAAAGTCAATCCACTAAGGTTTGACCTTTTCTTGCTCTGCAACTAGAGTTTCTCCAAAGGCAGGTAAATAATAGTGAGTCCTGCTTCACTTTGTCTTCGGCCTTGGGGTAGAAACCTGCTGTGAAATGCAGGTCCATTGGCCAAGCATTTTGTGTGAATAAAGCTAAAGGCCTATGAACCTGTCAGGGATTTTTTTTGTTCTTTTATTTTGTGCATCAAGAGCCTTCTGTTCCTAGACATAAATCTCCAAGCTGCTGCTAATATTTTCATGATGCATACTGTGAATCACATGCATAAGCTGTATACTACTACTTAGAAGGAGATAGAAGACACTTTACAGGAGAATATTTTACTTCAGGCACTGTTTTTACAAAGGAAAGAGGATGTGCTGGGATTTTAGTCTAAGACATTGTGGAGTCCTGGTGGTGATAAACCGTTTGCCAGTATATGGTCAGTATGTGATATTCAAGCTATCCTATAGCGGAAATTGTGATTGGGAATGAAATCAAGATACGAAAATGAATGTTTGCACTGAAATAATTTGATAAGAATATTTCTGTGTTGTACCCCCAAAAGAAGACATGCATCTCTTGTTACGGCTCCCAACCCTTCCAAAATGCCAGAGCCAAGGTGCTTCCCCACCTGCAAAGGTTGTATACAGCATGTTCCCTTCAAATAAACCTTTCATGTTGCATTTCTGTCTGCCTACAGTTGTTCAAAGAGTGAACAAAGAAAATAAAAACAATATTTTTTTTCTAGTGCCTGTTAACCCCCCAATTCCTAAAACCTCTGAGGGAGAATAATGTGGAAATACAAACTTAGAATAGACTTATTTTTGTTTTCATTTGCAACAAGACATGATTTCTATATATTTGATATTTGATGTAAAATAGTTTCCATGTTTAAGCTGCTTTTTGTTGTAAAGCATGATGAACATGATTATTAGTATTTGTATACTGAGCCTGCTTTTACTACGGCCACTTTATAGTTGTACAGAAGGACATGTAAGTTTCTGCACATGATGAAATCTTTAGGAGCTGATGGTTTTAGGGCTGGTTATTTGCTACTCGATAGTTTTGATTCTTTTTGTAAATGTTCATGAACAAATAACGTGATGGTCTCAAGATAAATTAGTAAACGATGTGAAACCTTATTGCCCTTACTGATATTCTGTAAGGGATATCTTCAAACTGAAAACGTACGGAGTCAGTTCTCTTTTGTTTCTCAGGAGATAATCACTCTCACTAATCCCTGACTTGTTATTAAGACAAATTAAGGTTTTTCCCATCTCTTCCTTATATGAACTTTTCTTCATGACTAGCAGCCTGTCACCAGGTCCTTTGGTATGACTGTTCTTTCTTTAGTTCAGTGTTTAACCAATACGGACTTGGGACAAAGGGTCCTTGCATATTTTGGACATTTCTTTGACCTTTTTTTTTTATATTTGTGCCCATTGAACTTAGTCTTGAGTCATTTGGTGTTTTATGACTGTTTTTCTGATGTGGAAGGCAGAGAGAGTGAACTTGTAGTAAGACAGCTGAGGAGCTGGAAAGGGGATAAGGCAGTACTGTAAATGGTGTGAGTTGCCCAGTAGGGACAGCATTTAAATGTGCTATTTTAAGCCATAGTATCAACTGTGTTACCGACTATCTGCACTTGGGGCCAGATTGTGCTCTTTCTTTTCTTGCTCTGTGGAAAGGAAACATGGAAGTGACTGTGCTCCTGTACTTGTGAACCGGTGCCATTACCACATCCGTGTCGTCCTTTCCTTGTCTCTGGGGTCTGAACCAGAGTCATATAAAGATCAGTAAAGCCAGCTCAGTGGCTCAGCTGTAGTCTCCTGCCACACACCAGTTACACTGGTCAAAAAGCGGCAGGGAATTGTAATGCCATACAGTGGTGTTCAGTTTAACATAGGTTTTTAGGGGAAGGAAGCAGCGAGGGTGAGAGCCGTATCATAAGCCTCCTTGTGGGATCTGCTTTCTCTCCTTCAGACCATACCTGAGTGTTGACTTCCCTTCCACATCGCTGTTAACTGGCATAGATGAGGCAATTACCACCCCTGGGCAAGTGCCTCTTGCTAGAGCTTGCCGCTGCCATGGCAGAGGGAGATGAAAAGATGATGCCTCTGCTGCAAGGACTCTGTGGTCTGCAGCCCCGTGTGCTCCTGCAAACCATGGCTGATTAACGTGACTGTGCAGGGGTTTAATTGAGAGGGTGTCGGCACAGTGTGCGCTCCCGTCTGCTGCTGCTGCCATGTGCAGGGCCCCATCCCCAGGCATCTATGGAGCTCATGGGAGCAAAAGATGCTGCGGTCAGGGGAGGGAGAGAAGTGAGAGCCCAGCGATGGAGACTCTGCATGTGGGGTGGGGAGGCCCAAACCGTGCTCCAGACTGTGCTTCACAGCCTTCCTTACTGTCAGCTTGCCACAGATTAGTTCCCCATAGCAGTCTGTAGCACAGGGGGAGGAATGTCACGGTGCAAACAGCTGCCCTTGCTGTTCCCAGACTTCCAGAAACCAGGTGTGAGGAAAGACTTACGGTAAGGACAACCCTGTGCAGTCACCAGCTGCTCCTCTCTGGAGCCGCACGGGTATCTCACACCAGAGGAGGAATCTGGTTGAGCTGATCCATGTGGCAGAAGCTGCGGTCGCAGAGCACCCGGTCTCTGTGTAGCACCACAGAAGCTGAGAGGAGAAGGAATTTCAGCCTCTGGGAGGCTTCTGCTCCAGAAAAATGAAGGCATTGATGGTCTGCTTAAGGACTCACAGAGTTGCCTTTCTGCTTTGTTACAAAGGGCACACCTCTGAAGAGGACCAGCATATAGCTTAGTGTCCCACACACGTCCGGCTGGGACTGCAGCAGCGTGTGTGTCGGCCAGAGAGGCCGCGCAGGCCTCAGGGGCAGGAGAAGGGCACAGCCTTCTCAGAACCACTCCCTCTAAAGCAGGGATGAGATAGGGATTTGTGTGCCTGTCTTACACGTGGGATGAAAGGGGAACTAGCCTTCTGGGATGGGAGAAATAAATGGGATCTGGATTGTGGGAAGAAAGAAGGTTGAGGACCTCCAGGTTAGGGAAGGGGTGGGAGCTGGGTGTCTGGGATTTTCATACCAGTAAAAATACTTTAAAAATTGATAAAATCTTCCAGTATTTTGTCTTCTATTGTTCTGGTATCAAGGATGTAAGTGTGTCCTGAAGGCGTTCGCTAGAGCTGTGACCTCTTTGCTTCCTCCCCTCCCCACTATTGTTTTTTGCTGTAGCCAGAGGGATACTTTTTTTAGCCTGGTACATAAGCAGAGGACTTAGCATTTGGTGTGGTAGGAGAGGACTGTTGGTTGTTACAGTGCTTTGCTATACAACGTTTAACTTGAATTCAAGCTTATATTAATACATTTTTTAAAATAACATTCTTACAGCTAATTTGGTTGCTTTCCTGGAGACTAGCCTTGCTGTCATTTCTGTTAGTTATTTATCTGTTATGATAGCTCCTAGCACACAGGTTATTTCCTCTTCTTTTTTTTTGTGAATTGATTGAGTTAACATCATGCAAAGTGCCTTCTATTTTTTAGGGTGAATATATTTTTTTCCTCATTTAAAACTGACTTTCAATATGTTTTGTAGCCAAGCACAGAGGGCTAATGAAATGAAACTATGTTAAAGAATTTTCTCAAAAAACTTTAGTGTCAACAACACGTTTCAATATGAGTAGTCAATCAATTGTACTGCAGGTATTTTTCAAGAAACTTCTAAGAACTTCAAACAAAAAGACTTTCAGAGTAAATAATAAGTTTTATTGATTCCATTTTTTGGTCCAATTTAAGAGTCCTTAAAGGATTTGAACTTTCAGCAGGCATTGCTTAGTGTTTTGTGAAATGGAAAGTCTTGTCACTGTGTTAAGCACTAAAAACTTGAATTATTCTACTTGCTTCATAAAATTCAGGTAGCTTGGACACCACAGGCATATTTTACAGTTCTGCAACTGTGGACCTCTGCTTTCCTGTTCAGGGGCAGGTTTGGCTTTGGTGTTTTGCTTATTTGTTTGTTTGTTTTAGACTTTCTTCTCAAACTGATCAAACTTCCTAATCAGCATTTTGAAAACCTGTTGTCACTAGTGGGCTTGGTGTGGGACATCTGTCACAAGGCTCATCAGCACATTTCTTGTCTTTGCAACTGGTTAATTATTTTTTTTCTCTTGCTTTGCTTTCAGCTCCAAGAGACAGTCAAAAGGAAGTTGGAAGGTGCACGCTCACCTCTCAATGGAGAACAGCAGAATGGAGTTTGCGATGGAAGCTTTTCTCCGACCAGCAAGCGGATACGGAAGGATGTACCAGGCATTGAGGCCATCAACAGCTTGCCCAATAATTTGCCTTTGCCCGCTGTTTCTCCTCTTCACCAGCTGGACATGAAAGCTCCCCTGCCCCTGCAGAACAGTGGAACTCATGGTAGTGGTCTAGATGACTTGGGTAAAAATGGTGGACTTTCCGAGATAAAGCTCCCCGTTAATGGTTGCAATGAGCTAGATGATAGTTTTAACATCCTGCAGAATAAGGAGCTAAAGCAAGAGCCTTTGGATGATGCCAGCTGCATAGACACTTCTGAAACATCTCTTTCCAATCAGAACAAGCTCTTCTCAGACATTAACCTGAATGACCAGGAGTGGCAGGAGCTAATAGATGAGCTAGCAAACACCGTTCCAGAAGATGATATACAAGATTTGTTCAACGAAGACTTTGAAGAGAAGAAGGAGCCGGAATTTCCCAGGCCTGCCACAGAGACTCAAGAGAGTGCGAGTGTGAAAAGCGACCCCTCTCATTCTCCATTTGCTCATGTCCCGCTAGGGTCTCCTCAGGTGAGGCCTTCTTCTTCCGGTCCTCCATTTTCAAACGTCTCCACAGCATCTAGTGTAGCTTCTGCATCCAGCGCCCCGCCAGCTCCGCTCCCTGCCGGCTCGCCAGCAAACTGTGTTGTTCAGTCACCTCAGACTCCCAACCAGCCCCACACTCCAGGCCAGACACAGACGCGGCCTGGAAATGGCTATCTTATGAATCCAGCGGCAGCAACCGTGGCAGGATCAGGGCCTGGACCTGTGAATATGCCAAGTGCTGACTTGTCTCCAGCTGAACAGCTCAAGCAAATGGCAGCACAGCAGCAGCAAAGAGCTAAGCTCATGCAGCAGAAGCAGCAGCAGCAGCATCCAAATCAAGCCTCAAGCTGGTCACCTGTGGGCCCTCCATCCAGTCCATATGGAGGACCCTTCAGCACAGACAAACCAAATAGCCCAATGATGTATCCCCAAGCCTTTAACAACCAAAACCCAATAGTGCCTCCTATGGCAAACAATCCACAGAAGACCACAATTAATAACTACCTCCCTCAAAATCACATGAATATGATCAGTCAGCAGCCAAATAACCTGGGCACAAACTCCTTAAGCAAACAGCCCAATATGCTTTCTTACGGCAACACCAAACCTCTAACCCACTTCAATGCAGAGTTGAGTCAGAGGATGACCCCACCGATGGCCAATCCCAGCAAGAACCCCATGATGCCGTACATCCAGCAGCAGCAGTCCCAGCAGCCGCAGATGCAAGCTCAGATGGCACACCTGAGCGAGGAGCAGAAGCGCATGCTCATCATGAAGCAGAAAGGAATGATGAACCAGTCCATGGCATATGCAACACTTCCTTCCCTTGGTCAGGTAAGCATGAGCTCATGATACACGGGCAACCAGCAAGAGATTAATACAAAGGCTTAGTAACTCTTTGTATGATGTCCTCCTTCTCTTTCTCCTGGTAAGCATGGAGTGTCATTGCAGATGCTTCTTGGACTTTTCATGTGGTATTCAGTTATGTGAAATGACTGAAATGATGTTGTGTTATGCTTTAGAAATGTTGCTAAATGGCTGCTTTTCTGGTCTAGCACTTTTCCCCTGTGCTTCTGCTGATGAGTTCTTAGGGCCACTTTGGGAAATTTGGGGTTGGAAGTCACTCCTTCTCAGAGGGTTTGTCTCCTTTTTTTCTTAATGTTGGTCTTGATGCTTTTGGATCCCAAACCACTGCATAGCTTGGTTTCCACAGTGTAGTTAGCATTGTAACTCGAAGTTGGAGTGGTTGTCCCCTTCTTCTTGGGGCAGGGATCTAGCCAGCTTTGAACAGCATATTTGGCACGTTGGCTCAGGGGAAAAGAAAGAAGATGTTTTGGGTGTCGAGTGCCTTTGGATTCCACTGGAAGAAGTAAGCATAATTGAATTTTAGTGGTGCTTGAACCAGGTGTGAAATGAAATGGTTTATTCCAGGACTTTCAAGCAGCCTTTAGAAACCTCAGGTTGTTCAACCTTGCTGTGAATCTGTGGAGTCCTCTAGCTTACATTCAGCAAGAGACTAAAGCCATGTGGGCTTGAATGAATTGGCATCACTGTGTCACATGTATTTGATGCTTTCACAGAAGTTATGTGCCACCAAAACAAGTCAGGAATTGTGATATAATAGTACACTAATAGGCTTGTTGGTTGATAGTTTCAGCGTAACAGTTTTTTATCAAATTAGCTGTTTCCACTCCACCTACAAGGAGTGCTTCCTTCTGAGCATGGTTTAACTGTGACTCACACTGTGTAATGCATATAGAAATACAGCAAAATTTGTCATTTCTTCATCCTGTGGAGTTTGGGGATCTACCAATAGGAGGAGTAGGAGCTTTACCAGGTCAGAGTCCATCACATTTTTTAAAATTAATTGCAAAACAAATTCATCTGCCTCCTGTTTGTGGTTCAGGATGCATGGTGACAGCACAAAGGTTCGTATCTCTATTTTAATTTTGCTTGCCTGATGCATTAGCTGGTCTAAAGCCTCTTCTTTCTGTGAAGATTTATCTAGAGAAATACTGCAGTAATGACGTAAAACAGTAATCTGAGCTACAGAATCTGTCAGGTTGTAACTGAGAGGCAGAGGGTGTCTGGTCAGGCTGTCTAATGCTTTCTTGTTTCTTTTCTTTGTTTTTGTTAAATCTTTTGAGCTCAAAACCCCATCAAACAGAGAGGACGAACTGCCTGTGTGAAAGAGTTAATATAATCTCCTCCATTTCATAAGTTAAGAAATTCATGTTAGCATCTCACTGCAGTTCTCCAGTGTGAACAGGAAGCCAAGATTTCATATACCTAATCTCATATACAAGTTGTTCTGTCTTTTTTTAATGTAGGAAAAACTAGATATTAGATTACAACTAGTCATTTTCCAGATATTAAGTAATTTCTATGTGTTATAAAGAAGAAAGTTAAGGTAAAGCCATCCTTTGTTTTATAATATGTGCAGTTCACTTGTCACGACCCAGTCAGGATGAGGGACCTCTTGCTTGTGTGCAGACATAGAAAATCCCTTCCCTCCTTGTGAAGCCCACTTGCCTACACTGACGGGATTTGTTCTGATGAGGAAGGCTGAAATACTAGATTTCTAACTGTAATGTATTTCTTCATTCCTCCTCTTCCTGCTTCCCTGAAAACCATTTCTCTGTGCAAAAATGGAAAGCTTATTCTTGTGAGATGTGCTTGGTAGAAACGCATTGTTTTTGCAAAGGTGGTAAAAACAATATGGTGATGTTGTTGCATTAAATCCAGACTGATGCAGATTATCTGATTCTGCTACTTACTGCAGGATGCGGGTGGTCAGACCTGCCAGATCACTTATGGAAAATAAGGAAATTGCACTCTTCAGTTTGAAACACATTTCTGAATGTAAAGTGAACCCATCGTTCAGTCACTTTGTAGTTTCTACTGCCATTGTAGCTTTGGTCTTTGATTCAGAATTGCGAACATGTATGTATGTGTTAAATAATCATGAGGATTTAACAAGTGGAATTTAAGGGGAAAAAATTCTAGTTACTGCATCCAATGATTAGCACTGACGGTGTATTTCTGTCAAGTGACTGCTACAAGGGCATATTCAAGAACCAAAAGATGACTTAGGGAACATCAGGCACGTACAAAAGCGCCTGGTCTTATTTTCTGTGTGCTGGTATAAATTTAAGCACGGCCAGTTGTGTGCATGTGTATACATGCACCGCATACACTAGTTAAACCTACGTCTGTTGGGGCCTAAGGTACTTCTGTTGTTAATAAGCAGAGTTTTTACCTGCATTCATTGCTTCAGTCTTTGGGCATACTTTAGAGACACTGTTTTGTCAGTCTGGATGGGACCTTGCAGAGGCCCTTTGCAGGTCCCTGTCCTGTTAATGTGTCAGTGAGGGGCCGGTGCTCTGGCCTTGTGTCCTGGGATGCTGAGAGTCATCGCTACAAACTCCTGTGAAGAGAGGTGAGCAGTGAGAGAGGAAGCCATGCAGCTCAATATCCATGTGAGTGTTTGGACAGGCCAAGTGCTATATTAGCAGCCTGGGTAGCAGAACGAGTATCCTACAAAAGTAGGATTTCTCCAAAGGCTTTTTACACTGTCCATGTTGAAACTTCCTGTTGGACGCGTTAGTCCTTTGCTTTGCTGTGCAGATCGAGGACCGGTACTGGCACTGTGGCTGTAACCCCCATCGCACCCTTGCTGAACGACCTGAAACACGATGTCCCCTGTTATCCTATAGCTCGTTCTCTTCAAAGGAGCACTGGATGGGGTAGGTCTGTTTTTCCACAAAACAGATACTGGTTTGGATTTCTGAGTCAGAAATTTTCCCAGGGTTAGCCTGAAGGTAACTCAGGCTGCTTTTGTGGAATTGGCTGTGAACAACCATAGTCAGGACCTGACCTATCCACATTCAGCAAAAACTGTGGTTGGATCCTGATCCATGTAATTCAGCAGAGCTCTGTCCTGCTGCTGCTGTTCCCTCTTGCCTGACTTCTCTCTACCTGGTCAAGCTTGCTCTTAGAAATGCCTGCTCTTAGCCTCGACCCACATACCCCAGTCTGCCCTAAAAGCAGTTGTGAGTTTGTGAGTATGTGACAGGTATTGCCTTTAGCCACTTGCTTTTCCTGGGTGGTTCATTCAGTCTTGCTCGTCTGTGGATATAGGCTAAACCAGCAGGCATAGCTTTTCACCAAGATGAAACAAGGGCTTTGTTTAGACTTTTTATGTGATTTAAGAAATAAAAGCAAGCAAGCAAGCCTAAATCAACCTCCTCTCTCAAAAGTTGGAGCTTTGTTTAACCTGAAATGTTTAATTTAGTTTTTGAAGGTGTAAGGCTTTTTTTAAAAAAAAAAAAAACAACAAACCAAAACAAAACAAAAAACCCCACCAAAAAGTAATTTCAAATTGTGGAAAAGTGAAAATGTTTTCTTTGGAAAATTTCAGAATCATTAATTGTGCCTTTTCTTGGTTCCAGCTGTTCAATATGTGTGCATAATGGTAAGAGAAAAAAGCAACCCAATGAAATAGATTTTGAATGGCTGAGACAGAATTTCATGTTTGGAGCTGAGTGAGGGAGAGTAATGAGAGGTTGAAACAAAACAAAATTCTCTGTGGGTGTAAGAAAAATAAAACAGACTGCAGCTCTTTGCCTGCATGGGACTGTGAGGATGCTGCAATTACAGTCCTCATTGAAACCACTAGTTATGTTGTTTGAGGAGAAATTACACCACACTGGAACATCTTCAAATTCTCTTTTCTGTCTTTTGTTTTAATCTTATAAATTCAAGATGCATCATCTGCTTAGTCTGGTTTTGCATGTGAAGGATAAAGGGAGATCTCTGTCCAGAGAACATTTCCAAAATGTAATTGTCTTTGTCCTTTTGAAGTGAAAAGGTGTGTTTCTCGCTGGAATTGTGAAAGAGATTTTGTGCTTTTTTGAAGGTTATCTTTGGGATAGTGAGAAGAAGAGATTGTTGACGTTCTGGGATTTGGCTTTTTAAAAAGCCTACCTGAAAGTAAAGAAGAAAGTCTACAGATTTGTATTCACTGTATGGAAGCGTGGCAGGAACACAACTGTCTTACCAGATTTGAGGGGAGACAAGCTGGAATGGAAATAGCGACTGATGCAGTGAGGATCGCTTGCTGCACAATCTGGAGAGGTGCAGTGGATGCCCATCTAGGCTGTGTTTGAGTCACAACCCCTGTTCTTCCACAAAAGGTCTCCCCTGAGTTCAGATGCTTTTTACAAATGTCAAAATTTGCTCCCCAGAAGTCTGTCTTCCATAGACCCCTAGGTCAGAAGGGTAATCCAAGTGTGTGTGGATTCAGAGCACCAGACCATTTGTAAACAGCAGCCTGGCCCTCTCACCATGCCTGCTCTCATCTGCCTGATCTGTTGGGAAGGAGGTCATAAATCATTAGAAACACATGTTGAGCAGCCCTTGGCTAAGATCAGATCTCCACAGCATAATCTTAAAACCAAATTTTGGCTTGTTAGTATTTCCTCATTTTGCAATCTGTGGATGTGTACTTTTAACCCAACACTTACTTTGTTCATTCCATATGGTGAATGATTTTCTGTAATACTGAGTTTTTCTCTAGCCTAAGCCTTGGAAAATCGAAGTCTAATAGCACTGCTCCCATGCCCCAACTGAACCAATCATCTTATCATAGGAAAAACACGGATCTCTTTGGTGAATCCTGCTTTCCTAAACCCTGCTGGCCGGTATTCCTGCTTTATCCTCTGACTCATTGCTAGTAAAAAGAACTGAAATGAATTGTTCCATTATTTTGCTGGAGAGGGTGTCAGAATAACTGGGTTTTTTTCTCTTTTTAAATACCACCGTTGCAGTGGTAA